TAATAATAATAATAATAATAATAATAATAATAATAATAATAATAATATAGGAAATACTCTAAATGCTCTGAGGGTCATTTGGAAAAATCCTTTCTTAGTGAGCACCTAGAAGCCAAGAGGAACACGCCAAATTTAAAGTTTGTAGGCTTTACAGTTCTGGAGATTTTGTAACGATTCATGAATGGTGTTTTGCTTATATGTAATAGAAATTCCCCTATTTTTCCTTAGCCTGAACTTCAGACTGTGGGATTCGAAGCAGAACACATGGAAATGTTTTCAGATTGTTTTCCCCGCGGCTCGAATTTCACAGCCAGGAGAACATTTAAATGAGAACGGTTCTCTGTGAAGATCTAGAAGGAAATGCAGTCTCTGGAACTCCCTGCCATGAGATGTGGGCAGGGGCCACAAGGTAATTTTTTTAAAAATCTATTTTACTCCAAATTTCTCTGCTTAACATAGGAACGGGGGATGTTGTAAGTCAGGGAAGGCATGTGTTTTGTTTTCAGAGAGGCAATTGGCCTCGCCCGTCCTCAATGAGGACGGGAAGCTTGTTTGAGGAGAAAAGTTTTACAAAGAAACCGGAAGCGGTTCTGGGTTTTGAGGCTCCAACCTTTATTGCAGTGTTATTCACAGTTTGACAGCTCCCTTAATTTCAGAGACGACAACCCCCACCCGCCCCAATCCCTCCCCTGCCCCGAATTCTCCCCACCCCACATGAGGTATTCTTCAGACTAGCCGGTCTCAAATGCAGGGGGTTAAAAACGGGGGTAGGGGTGGTGAAAGAGCGGGGGGGGGGGTCGTTACAGTGGATTATTTTCCCTGGGATCCAACGGCCGCCTTTATTTTTTGAATTTCTCGCTCTCCTCCTGCTGTCGGATCAGGCAAGAGATGGGGCTGGCGATGCCCCCAATCAAGTTCCAATATTCGTCGAAGTTGATCTCCCCGTCTTGATTCTCATCCAGGTCGCAGATCAGTTTGTCGGCCGCCTGCCTGTTCTTGGTATCCTAAAGGATAGGAAGCGGAGGAAGATGGATCAGGTGGAGGAGGAAAACTCATTCCCATTCAGTTCAGAGCACAATGGATAGTGGTGTGTGTGTGTGTGTGTGTGTGTGTATAACCAGGGGTGGGGATTTTATCGGTTCGGCACGGTTCGGGCGACCCGGTTGCTCCGAAGATCAGTGTCTGGCGGTTACCCCCCCCCAATTAAATCACGAGTCTCGAGACAAACTTCCAAAACTTCAAAAGGATTTATAGGGAGTTAAAATGTCCGGCACTGCCTGGGTGTAGCTGACTCTGGGACACATAATTCGTTGTCACCCTGGACCCTGGTTTCCCCCCCACCCCCTGGATATATCCTAATTCATATTCTCCAATGGGACCCCTCCATAGCCCAGAGTCATCCATCGTATTCTCCAGTTAGAATTTTGCACGGCAGAAACTTCAGTAATTCTAATTGTAAATGTTTTCAAAGATAGATAGATAGATAGATAGATAGATAAGATAGATAGATAGATAGATAGATAGATAGATAGATAGATGATAGATAGATAGATAGATAGATAGATAGATAGATAGACGGACAGACAGACAGACAGAAAGAAAGACAGACAGACAGACAGACAGACCTTTTGGATGGATGGATGGATGGATGGGTGGATGGATGGATAGATAGATAGATAGATAGATAGATAGATAGGTGTGTGTGTGTGTGTGTGTGTGTGTGTAAATTAGCATTATTGAGATGAATAATATCAAAGCTATAAGCAAAGCTGGCTGGGGAATTCTGGGAGTTGAAGTCCCAAAATATATAAATATAAATAGTCGTGTTTTTCAAGCTTAGCAACTTTGAAGATGGGCGGACTTCAACTCCCAGAATTCCCCAGCCAGTTTTGCTTACAGCTTGGATAGGATTTGTCCCCATAATGCTAATTTGATGAGATTAGAGCAAGTGTTTCTTATTGTTGGCAACCTGAACATGGGCGGACTTCAACTCCCAGAATCCCCCAGCCTGAGCAAAGCTGGCTGGGGGAATTCTGGGAGTTGGAAGTCCACCCGTCGTAAAAGTTGTCAAGGTAATAAGAAATGTTGACCGAGGAACGAGAACTTTCACGTCGTGGGTTAGGATGACAAAATCCTGAAATCCCATCTCAGGGTCCCTCTCCGTTGGAGCTCAAATTCGGATGTGGGCCCTGAGTTCAGGAGCCGCCCCGCTCACCGTCAACATGTGGTTCAGTTCGTGGCTGAGCATTTTTCTGAAATCGGATTTGCTGATCCCGCGTCGTTTGCGGCAACAACATCCTTTGCCAGAATATTTGTCATAATTCTTCACCAGGGTCTGGATCGCCCACTCCAGCTCCGAAGAGTCACCTGTCACCGCCATGCTGCCCTTGGCTCCTGGGGGAGAGAAAAAAAGAAAAAAAAAGGAATCGCTTTGATCACCTCTTGGTCCCCTTTCCACTTGGCTAAATGAATAAAATGAAGAGCTTGCTCGAGGCACAGGGAGCTTCCGCCGCCATTGATTCAGAGAGAGGCTGAGGAATTTCAGCAAAGAGGAAATAAAAAGGAAAGAAAGCACAGCGTAACCGAAAGGGAAAAACATAAACCGAGAACATGAAAAGGAAACGCATGAAGAAGAAAAAAGGACGAGTGAAAAAAATAAATAAAAATAAAAGGAGGAAAGCGGGAAGAACAAAACAGGCATGAGAAAGAGAGAGAGAGAAGGAACGGAGACTCGGAACGAAAACACTTTGGGTGAACATATGACGGGCTAGTCTAGGCATTTGATTAAATCAGTTTATATAAATAAACGAAATTAAAGTGACACGCCTGCCTGGAGACCTCCAATTCCGAATTTGGAAGCAACCTTTTGAAGCGGCTCGCCCCAGACCGGCGCATTGAATTTCAGCTAGTGGCTTCCTTCACGAGGACTAGCAGCTTGGGTTAAACCCAACTTTTTTTTGAGCCCGAGAGCCCACTTAACCAGCATCTTGCTTAGCAGCGGAAACGCTGGGCCCGTTGATGGTCGTAACTCGAGAACCGTACGGGGTGCAAATTGCAAATTAAAAGTTTGTTCACACGCCAGGTATTGCCCTTTGGGGCAATATCTATTTTGGGATGCCAAATCAAGCGGCTTTTTGCCAATTTTGCAAAATATATAAACACATGGATGACTCCCACCTCAGGGCAGGGAAAGATGCCACGGGGAATATCTGGGAAAAAAAAATTTGTCCCGACTGGGTGTTTTTTTTTTTAAATTAAATCTCTGCCTGCTTAAAGAAGCAAGCCACAGTTTCTTGCCTGTTTGATGTGGATTTGATGTTGGCTTCTGATTGAGCCTGCAATTCTGGTCTGTCCAGCGTCTTTTGTGTTATTCGTCATTTGGGGAAGGTGTGGGTTTCCGCGGGGTTGCGTTTTTTGCAAAAAACATAAATAAATAAACAAAGCTTGGCGTTGGTTCTCTGGGTTTTTTATTATTATTTTTGCCAGCAACAGTGGAATTTTTTTTTTAATTGAAAATGAATACAACAGATAAAGAAACCTAGCTTTGAATGTTTGGTTATTCAGCCACCATTGTGCTGGTTAAATATGATGGTGCTAGAATTAGAATTAGAGTTAGAAAGAATAGAATGGAATGGAATAGGATAGAATAATAGAGAATAGAATAGAATAATAGAGAAAAGAATAGAATAATAGAATAGAATAATAGAGAATAGAATATGATAGAGAATATAATAGAATAATAGAATAGAATAATAAAGAATAGAATAGAGAATAGAATAATATAATATAATAATAGAGACTAGAATGGAATGGAATGGAATGGAATAGAATAGAATAGAATAGAATAGAATAGAATAGAATAG